GCATATTTTTGGAGCGTAGTTTTCCATTGATCTTAAGTTCGTTTTTTCCCATATGGCTTAAAATCAAACTTAGCTTGTGACTCAAAATTGAGTTGGGTTCGAAGTACTATTGTTTTGATCCACGAGAATCACATGTGCTTTACAAGGTCTTTCCTGTTGCTTCTCTAGTATAATTGTAAAGCGTATCTTTCTTACGGTCTTTAGTTCGTTCATTCTCTTACTTGGCAAAAGACCGCCTTAACATTAAGAACTGATCGATCAAAACCACTGAGTCTAGAAGCTACTGTAAAGCAGATCTGACTCTCCCTGCTTCTGTTGGCCCAAGCACATCGCGTCTCGATTCGTACCAACTAACAACAGCTTGTTAAGGTTTGTCAATTTTTTTATTATTAAATAATGGGAGCTGCTCTATCCTTGCTCGAAGACATCGTTCTTTACATGGTGGAGACATTTACCGCTGGTGTTGTTCAGTCCTGTCAAGGACAAGAACAACAAGACGGTGCATCGTTATTACATGACCAAGATCCCCTGGATGATTTTAGAAAGTTTAATCGAAACGACGAGATTTTTCAAGAATATGACCCACCTTCTGGGGACAACAGCAAAATGGGATGGAAAAGATCTCGCCCGCCAACATGGCGATTGTCGCTTTGGAAGGCCATGAAGTGCGCATTTTGCCTTCAGATTCTTGGCGGCGTTGCGTTGGGGTCACTCGCTATTTCAATACTGATTTTAAATTTGAGAACTTTAGACTTCTGCTTTAATGTGCAGAAAACTAACTGGACGGCGGTTTCCAAAAGATATCAGCGGATCATAGTGACAGTTGCTGTAATAGAAACCTTCGTGATTCAGCTGTGGTCGCTTCTTCTTATGTTGACAATATTTGAAAGTAGTTTGATAAAAAAGCTCAATCTAATCACACTGAATCTTCTGGGCGCATCATTCGACACTTGTTTCAGGCTCTATTGTCAGATGTACGGCGTTAACGTAAAGTCTTGGATGTCTTACCCTCTCAACTGCCTCTTTGTTTTTTTGCTGGTGATGAACAGTTTACTAATTGGCAGAGAAATAGCAAAGAACAACGAAAGAAGCAAAAGAATAAAGAAAACGATCAAGGTAATGGCCATGCTGGTAGCTCAGTTTGCTTTTGGAATCCCGGTCACTTTTGGTCTCGTGTACGCCCTGATACCCCTGTATGGTAAAGCACCTCAAACCTACAGGGCGATCATAACCGGGGCTTTGCCCCTAGTAACTGCTATTCCAAAGGTCATTGTACGCTTGGGGGCACAAAGAATCGACTTTCTTCATCCAGGCGATTCGCACGTGCTGTTGAACGTACTCTTCAGCGCGTCTGCCATCGTTTTTCGCGTTATGCAAGCGGACCTGTTCGAAATCAAACTTTTTACTCTTCTTAGCTTCGCGCATGGTGCAATAGATTTGCTGGAAAGGTTGACTGTCGTTATTCGCGATTATGTTTGGTACTTCATTTACAAGAAGCTCAAAAGAGACGAGAGGGAAACCATTTTGAAAGCAAATCGATTTCGCTTGCAAAGGAGCATGCGTTTTGTGGCCGATATGAGCATTCAGATGATCCTGGGCGAATCAACGTCATTGATAGCAGCGGTCGGTTTCTTTCAGATTTACAAGTTTATATACAGCGGTCAAAAGGCGTTGTCCGTGATAACCGAATTTTTCACTCGCGTCTCCATTGCTATTAGCATTGACTTTGGTTTTAATTCTTTATCGTTTTGGCTGCAGATGTCCTATATGAACGTTGCCATAGATCGTGTTTGGAAGAAGAGCTGGCGGAAACACATGGTTATTGCTTTTATTGTGACAGCCTTGACCATGCTTTACTTTGCTGGTCGCTTATTGCCCATTGTGAGCGCCAAAAGTTCTTCAAATAGCACAATGAGCAATGCGAATTGTTCACAGCTCATCTTAGAGTCTTGACCTAAGAAAATTTATTTTGTCTTCCTTTTTTTTAAGTTTAAGCCCACTTCCATCGTACCCGTTCTTAGTCATAGAAACAGTTTTTTTGTACAACTATAGAAACCTTAAGTAAGAAACAGATTACTTCAATTAATTAGTGACTTTCCATCTCCCGGGATGACAGCGTACTCCTTTTTATAAACTACATCGGTATGTACTTCGCCAAAGGGCATGGATTTTTAACCGTTTTGGTCTTATATTACGTCTAGATTTTTACTGAACCATTTGGGTTTGCAATCGTGTGAGACAGTTTTGTTGGAATATTCCTCTTTTTAGAACAGTAGTTCCAGTCTAAAACAGGGTGCGGACCCAAACCAAAAACTTGAGCTGCACACCCCAACCGAATGTTCCATGACTACCCCCTGGGGGGTTTCCATTGATGTAAACGATTCTACTGAATTTTCCAGTGATACTGATGATACTCCCTGTGTGATTTCTCCCAATGCGAAGTTTATAATTTTGTCGCAATTCGTGCCGCGTGTGGATTCGTTGAGCGATTACTGGAAGTGGACACCGTTCTGTAATATTTCTATCGGTTTGGTTTGTGTCCACAAATTTCGTGTTAAATGGTATCCATGATCTTTGTTTTTACATGTTTATGTCTTCTGTTCAGTGCGCTTTTCGTGGCGGCCATATTGTTTGCGGCGGTTACCTCTGACTGAATTGAGGTCTGCATTACCTAGGGCTCATTATAAACGCGCGTGATGTACATGCAAACTTTGATAACTTTCTTATGCTTTGGTAAAGAAGAAGCGGTTTGGGGTTTAGATATAGTGTGGGTGTAAGTGAACAAAAACTTTTCCTCTCCGAATGGGTAGTTCGTCGAAGCAAAACCGAAGATGCTTGACACGTAAACGAGATTACTCCGGTCCGTCGTCGGAGTATGGATGTTAGTAAAATTTTTCCAAGTCTTAACAGTCATTATCTTACCAATCCACGTCCAATATAACTCCACGCCTTCCACTTCACACATTTCAACCAACCCCTAAAATATACATTACTACTCTACTTACACATCCCTAATATACTTATAAACTTCACGTACGCTTAGTACCACGACGCCCAAATATACACTCCCACAGCATCTTGATCAACGTAAAACACCTTTATAACATAGCTAGAATATTCGCCTAATCAAATTCAATAGGCGAGCGTGCTTCATATTCCCATTGAGCACACTGGTGACGTCAATAAACTATACCTCGAGTTCTTGTGAGCTTAGCAATCGTCCCAAGGCGTCTCCCAAGTGCATCCATAACTCAACAGTACACTATGAAGCGTTAACCATGTGTTTTAGAACGTTTGAATTTGTTTACCGATAGTAGGGAGAAGAGGTGAGTGTTGTTGTTGTCATCTGCGCGAGCTGTGCGAGTTATGGCGTGTTTGCAAAGTTTTTTCTTTCAAAAAGAATTTTTCGGTGAATTACTGAACAGTTTTCCGGCACCTCAATTTGGATTTTACCATCTTTTTGAGAGTTCTCTTAAGCGACTTGATAAACCTTCTCTCCGTTTCAAGGAAAAAACCTAACTGTAAAGTAAAAAAATATAGTCACGTAGACACTGACGCGTATTGGTTTGAGCGCCGGCTACAATAATAAAAATTTAAGTTAACTTCCGCATTGGTCGCTTTGACAATGTTATAAAACAATTAATTCATGCTTCAGCTGTGCGTATGTCGAGAAATTGAGCACTTGGGAAGTTTGGAGAGCACTCAAAAGGCTAGAGTTGCTCTCGGCTGCGCCTCGAGCAACTCTTACGCCTCTTTCGTGTTCTCCAAACTTCCCAAGTGCTCAATATCTCGACATACGCACGCTGATAATGAACTAATTGTTAAGAAAAAAAAATTACAAATTGGCGACCACTTGTTGCAATCTGGCGCTTGAAAATGTTCATTTAAATTACTCGTCAGATCGCGCCTATATCAAAATGTTACTTTTGGACCCTGTCAAATAAAAAAGGTGAACGGACCAATTTGCATTTTATAATTTCCCGAAATGTTTTACGGTTCATTACATTTCAAAAATAGCTTCGATTTTTTAAAAGATCCGATTCATCGAGTCGCCTTAATCTTAGAAAACGAAAACAGTACATTGTCCACTTGTTTTCAATTCTTTTCTTTGCTGCCTTGAGGAAAAAACACTTAAAAAACACGGATACCACAGTCATTCACATTTCGTCTTTCCAAGAACTGATCGATATAAACAACAACCGTCTCATCCTCGGTGTAAAAACCTATGAAACTCACGAGTGACCTAAAACAATGAATACAAAGAAAAACTTCACAGGTTTTCACACCGAGGTAAACCACAACAACCTGGTATTGGAGCTTCAGACAAATAACGACAATGTTCTTGGTTCTATAAAGAGGTGAGATTTGATTTTCACTAAGATAGTTGGGAGATAATGGGAGCTGCTTTCTCGCTCGAAGGCGTGCTCGCGTACACCTTGGAGACGTTCATCGCTGGAGTGATTGAGTCTCACCAAGGACAAGAGGACGCTCGATTACTGCAAGGCCAAGATCTCTTGGACGATTTCAGAAAGTTCGATCCAAATGATGAGATTTTTCAAGAGTACGATCCTCCCTCCCTCCCTCGCCCGCCAACATGGCAACTGTCGCTTTGGAAAGTCATGAAGCATGCGTTTTGTATTCAAATTCTTGGTGGCGTTGCGTTGGGATTGCTCGCTATTGTAATACTGGTCCTAGATTTCAATACCGTCGATCTTTGCTATGATATGCAGTCCAAAAACTGGACGGCGATACCTAAAAGAATTCAGGCGGTCGTGGTGACAGCTGATACAACCGAAGCCTACTTGGTTCAACTGTGGCCGTTTCTCGTTGTGTTGACAATGTTTGGTTGGCGTTTGATAAAGGAACTCAATCTACTGTTTCTCAATCTTTTGGGCGCTTTCCTCGACACTTGTTACAGGCTTTATTTACAAGTTTAAGGCATTTACTACAAGCCCTGGAGGTCAGTCCCTGCCAGCGGTCTTTTTCTTTTCTTGTTGTTGATGAACAGTTTGATCATTGGCAGAGACATTGCTATGAAAAGCGAAACCGAAAGGAACAAAATAATCAAGAAAGCGATCAAGGTATCGGCGATGCTGGTAGCTCAGTTTGCTTTTGGAATGCCGATCACATATTGTCTCGTATACGTCCTGATACCTCTGTATGGCGAAGTATCTGACACCTACAGAGCGATTATAGCCGGGGCATTGCCTCTAGTTACTGCTATAACGAAGATGATTGTACGCTTGGCGGCGCAAAGAATCGATTTCCTTCATCCAGGAGATTCTCACATATTATTAAGCGTCCTCCACAGCGCAACTGCCATCGTTTTTCGTGTTATGCAAGCAGAACTGACCAGCCTCCGACTTTTCACTCTACTCAGCTTCGTGCATGGTGCAATAGACTTGCTGGAAAGTTTGACTATCGTTATTCGCGATTATTTTTGGTACTTTGTTTACAAGAAGCTCAAAAGAGACAGTGGTGAAACCATTTTAAGAGCAAGTCAATTTCGCTCGCCAAGAAGCATGCGCTTTTTGGCCGATATGAGCATTCAGACGATCCTTTTCGAATCAACATCATTGATAGCAGCGGTCGGTTTCATTCAGCTTTACAGCTTCATGTACAACCGCAATGATGCTTCCTTGGCGTCTATCGCCCAATTTTTCATTCGCGTCTCCATTGGTATTAGCATCGATTTCGTTTTTAACTCGTTCTCGTTTTGGCTGCAGATGTCGTATTCAAATATCGCAGTGGTGCGCGTCTGGTGCACGAAATGGCGGAAACATATGCTCGTTGCTTTTATTTTGACTGCAATGACACTGTGTTACTTTACACCTCACTTGTTTGCTGTTGTTAAGGCTAAACACACTTCAGTAGTAAGAATAGATGATATCGGTTGCAAGGGTCCTTTCTCAAAGTTTTAAAGGGGCTTTGTCACCGTCGTCTAGTTTCTTTTGTTATTGATGCCAGTTACGCTTTCTTTGTCGCTATTGAACTT